GAAAGAAGGAAAGGAAAGGAAAGGAAAGGAAAGGAAGGAAGGAAGGAAGGAAGGAAGGAAGGAAGGAAGGAAGGCCAGCCCAAAAGGGGCCTTGCCCGCCCTCCCTACCAGGTGATCCAGGAGGAAGGAAGAACTGGTCCGATTTGTTTGGCTAGACACACCCCAGGCTGTGTTGCTGGGACAGCTGCATACCAGGCATTCCTCTCTCTCTCACACACACACACACACACACACACACACCCGCCTCCACCCTTCCCCAAAAGCTCCTGCTACCTCTCACCTCTTTCTCTTGGTCCAGCCTTGACCTCTTCCTCTTCCCCCACCCCAAGGAACCCCCGACCTGCATCCTCCGCATTGCAGGCAGCCCTCCATTTACAACTAGGTGGCTGGCTGAAGACTCCTGGGAGTTGGAAGCCCACCCCTCTTCCAAGTGGCCGGCGTTGAGAAACCCCCGGGCTAGAGCGGGGGGTCTCCAACCTTGGCCGCTTTTAAGGCTGGTGGACTTCAGCTCCCAGAATCCCTCAGTCAGTGCCCCGGTCTTGAAGCGGCCGAGGTTGGAGACCCTCTGCTTTAGACTTCCTGTTGCTGTGGCTGGCTGGCTGGGGAATTCTGGGAGTTGAAGTCCACCAGTCTTGAAGCGGCCAAGGTTGGAAGACAGCCCCCCACCCCACCCACCCGGGCTTAGAGAGCATTGGGCTCTGGCGAGCGAGGAAGGCGGGGCCAGGGTCTGTCACTCAACCGAAGACACCTGCACAACACGCTTGAAACTTGGCAACCATATTGGCCCGGAGACCAAAAAAAAAAAAGAAAAAAGGTCGTAGCACACTGGCTCAGGGAATGCTGGGAGTTGGAGTCCCCGCCGGTCTGCCAGGGGCTGAGATTGAGGGACGATGACAGAGCTGGCACGTAGCCGAGTGATGCACGAGACTCCCAGGATGTGATTCAAGCCCAGGACCTCTGCGGTATCTGCAAGCGGACTATCCAAGGCTTACTCACTGGAGCTGCAACACACGGTGGACCTCCTCCTAGGAGGAAGGGGAAGTTGCATTCCCTCAACACACACACACACACACCCCGGGGGAAGGAACCTCGAGTCCCTGAGAGCATCCATCTCCGAGCCAACCTGCAAACTTCACAGCCCTGATGCTCCAGGAAGAACCAAGGGTTGGCATCACAAACCAAGGCGGTTTACCAGACAGAGCACTGATGAGGTTCCCTAGTTGGGTCATGAAAGGTCTGCAAGAAAGCCACCAAGGACCCCCCCAAAAGCCCACTTCTTCTGTCTTCCTCTTCCTCCACCACCTCCTCAAAACCTGCCCCTTTCTAGCACTGATGGAAGTTCTCCTTCTCCGCAATCCCACTCCCTTCAGGCGCTGATGATGTTCCCTAGTTGGGTCATGAAAGGTCTGGAAGAAGACGACCAAGCTCAGAGAGAGAGAGAGCACCCAGGACCCCACAGTCTCTTTCCTCCCCCTCCCCCTCTTCCTCCCCCTCCTCTTCCTCTCCACAATCCCACCTCCTTTCTAGTACTGACGACGTTCCCTAGTTGGGTCATGAGATGTCCGCAAGAAAAACACCAAGCTCAGAGAGCGCACCCAGGACCCCACAGTCCTCCTCTTCTTCCTCCTCCCCCTTCTAGCGCTGAAGATGTTCCCTAGTTGGGTCATGAGACGTCCGCAAGACAACCCCCAAACTCAAGGGAGCCCCCCCGTTCAACTGCCAAGCTCCCCCCAAATTGCCCTCATATATTGGCCCCAAAGCAAAGTTCAACTCTCAAGGTCAAGCCGTGACCTTCACCGGAGATCCGGCCTCAATTTCCCTCTTTGCTGCCGCCGCCGCCGCGGTTGTGCCAAGTCAAACAAGACCAGGCAGCCGTTGCGCCTTTGATCCTGGCTCCAGCGGGACGAGATTCCCAGGAGGGGGGGCGGGGGGCGGTGCTACAGCAAGATAGCCCCTCCCACATTTGATTTCTGGCCCGGAAGGCAGGTGAGGGAACCTCCTCGAACGCTAAGCTGCCCGGGGGGGGGGGGGCCCCCCCCCTCAACCCCACACGCCCTTCCTGCACCCCCCCCCGACAGAAATGCCAGACGGGTTTTACCCCAAAGGCTGAAGACTTTCTCTTTTTTTGAGGGGGGGGAGGGCGAGAAAGGCAGGAATTCCCAGAAAGGAGGAGGAGCCACGCCGACAGGTAAGTCGCCCTCCTTTCCGCGGCCATAAGAAATAGCGGCCTCTGCGTACCGCAACACCCCCGCGAGCCCCAGCTCAAACCCCCGCCGGCAGAAATCCAGGTAGCCCTCGAGTTATGACCGCCAACGGAGCCCCAGCTTCCCGTCGCTCAGCGAAACCTTGGGTTTGAAGTGCCTTTTCCTCCCGTTTTTTACAAATATCCTTGCCCGCCATCGCTCACTGCAAGTGGTTAAAAGTTAGAGCCACGCGGTTCTTAAGTGAATCCGGGTTCGCTGGCTGGTCAGGTCACGACAGGGGGAAAATCGCGTGACCGCTGCCCCCTCCCCTTCTCCCTCCCCCGACAGGACGCCGCGGCCGTCGTAAATGCAAGCCGGTTGCCAAATTCCGATCACGTGACCGTGGAAAGGATGAAAAACGGTCATAAGTCATGGGTTTTGTGTTTTTTTTGCCAGTCAACGAACGGTTGGAAGTCGAGGACTACCTGTTATAACAGCACAGGTGGATTTGACAGGGAAAGGGGAGGGGGCTCCCCTTTGACACCCCCCCCCATCTCCACCCATCACCGCCCAGGGGGGTCTCAAACCTTGGCCCCTTTTAAGCCCGGTGGACTTCAACGCCCAGAATTCCCCAGTGGGCTTTGCTTAAGTCTCTTGCCATCCCTTCCTCTGCAATCTCTGTTTTTATTTTTATTTTAAATTTAGTTTTCTTGTCAATTCTGGGAGTTGGAAGTCCCACAAAGCTTTGCAGGCTGGGGGATTCTGGGAATTGAAGTCCTCCAGACTTAAAAAGGAGGCCGAGGCTGGAGAACCTCAACCTTGCAAGTTTAGCCCGAGACTTACCCAGCCGCCGTTGTCTTGAATCCAGGGGTCCAGGTGCTCCGTCAGGTAGGTGGCCATCCAGGTGGCGATCCTTCCCACCAGGCCCCGCATCTCCTTGTCGACGCTCTCCACGCACAGGGCCCCTCCGAAGGAGAAAAAGGCCACAATCCGCCCCCAGTTCACCCCGTCCCGGAAAAGTTCGTTGACCACCTGCTCAAAGCTCTGGTAAGCCGTGCCCAGGGTGATGTGGAGCTGCGAGGTCAGGTCGCTAAAGGCCCGCCGGTAGCGCAGTTCGAACTCGTCCCCGGCTTCCCGCAGCGTCTGCCTCACCGCCTCCTGGGGGCCGTCGCTCAGCTCTTCCAGCAGGGCCGGGTGAATGCTGGCCGCCCCGTTGACCACCGGGCTGGGGCTGGGGTGCCAGGAGGGGCTCCCGCCGTTCAGGACGCCGCCGCTGCCGCTGCCCATCTCGCCGGACAGCTCCGTCCGCTCCTCGCCGTCCCCCTCGATCTCGCGCCAGCTGTGGCCCCGCTGCGCCAGCTTGTAGGCAATGAAGTCCACCACCAGGGACCGGTTGCCGCTCGACATTTTCACACCTCTGCCCGTCTCAGTGAGTCCATGGTCTGCAGCCCCAGCCGTCCTGCTTACCGTAGGAGGACGTGGCGCCCTGCCGCTTTGGGCACAGCCATCCCAGCGCCGGGCGTGGAAACTTCGCGGGGGCAGCGGAGGAGAGAAAGCAAAAGGGGGGGAAGAAAGGGAGGGGAAAAAAAGGAAGAAAGAGGAAAGTGTTAAAAGGACCGGCGGCGGACTGGGTGCCAGACGGGGCAGGGAGCGGGAAGGGGGGGGTGGGGGGAGGACTTAGCTGCCCCCCAGGAGGCTCATGCATTTGCAGGCAGCAATCCTTGCCTTCTCCCCACCCTCTCCTTCTCTCTCCCTCTTTTCTCTCTCTCCCTCTCCCTCCCTCCTCTTTTCTCTCTCCCTCTCCCTTTTTTCTTCCTCCCTTTTCTCTCCCTCTCCCTCAATTTTCTCTCACTCCTCCCTTTTTTTCCCCCCCTCTCCCTTTTCTCCCTCCCCCTCCCCTCTTCTCTCTCTTTCTCCCTTTTCCCTCCCTCTTTTCTCTCTCCCCCTTTTTCTCTCCCTCAATTTTCTCTCTCTCCTTTTTCTCCCTCCCTCCTTTTCTCGCCCCCTCTCCCTTTTCTCTCTCCCTCCCCTTTTCTCTCTCCTCCCTTTTCTCTCCCTCTTTTCTCTCCCTCTCCCCCTTTTTCTCTCCCTCTCCCTCTTCTCTCCCTCCCTCCTTTTCTCTCCCCCTCTCCCTTTTCTCCCTCCCTCTCCCCTTTTCTCTCTCCTTCCCTCCTTTTCTCTCTTCCTCTCCCCCTTTTTCTCTCCCTCTCCCTCAATTTTCTCTCCCTCTCCCTTTTCTCTCTCCTTCCCTCCTTTTTCTCCCTCCCGCTCCCCTTTTCTCCCCCCCTCTCCCTTTTCTCCCCCTCTCCCTTTTCTCTCTCCCCACTTTCTCCTTCTCTCTCTTCTCCCCCTCTCCCTCTCCTCCTGTCAAGGGCCGCCCAGCAACCCAACCCCCAGCTACCGATTCCACCCTCCCCCCTCCCCCCCTCCCCAGAGGGGTCCCTAATGGGAACCAGATCCCCGTCACCCGGCCGGGCCCCGTGCCTCCCCTCCGACCCACCTCCTGGCGCCGAACCAGCTGCGACCGGCAGCGTGCAAAGGCTGCAGCCTGCCAGGCTGGTGAGCGAGCGAGCGAGCGGGCGAGCGACGGGAGGTGAACCCAGGAGGCTTCCCTTTTGCCACTTTGATGGAGTGCTGCAGGTCTGCTGCAGCAGTAAAGCATGGAGACCCCTCCCTCTTCACGCCCCCTGCCTCTCCTCCTCCTCCTCCCACCCACCCACCCCCCTCTCCCCTCCCCTCCCTCCCGCCCTCCTCCCTGGGATCAAAGCACTTCCTGGTTCTTGAGAGCGGCTTGCTAGCTGGGGTTGCTTTTTCTTTCCTTTCCTTTCCTTTTTTTTTTTAAAGAGACAAAGGCTTCCGGCCACCAACGGGGGACCAGGGGCTGAACTAGGATCCCGCTTTCCATCACGGAGGCAGATCAAGGTTGGGGGGGGCGTGGGGAGGGGGGGGGAGGAGGACAAACAGGCCAGGAAAGGTTTCCCCAAGTGAGGAAGGTGGATTAACAGCGGCTTCCGAGCCCCATCAATCCCGAACAAAGCTGCGAGGGACCCGGGAGGTGGTCTAGTCCAACCCCTCTTGCCCAAGCAGGAGAGACCCTGGACCATCCCACGCTAGTGGCTGTCCGGTCTCTTCTTAAAAACCTCCAGTGATGGAAGCGCCCACAGCTTCCGGAGGGAAGTCATTCCGCTGATTAATTGGCCTCGCTGTCAGAAAAATAAAAAAAAAATCCTCTTTAAAGGGCCTTGGTTAGTTTCCATCCGTTATATCCTGTCCTGCCTTCTGGGGCTTTTTTGGAGCATGGGTTGTGTTTGTTTGTGGCAGCCTCTCAAAGGGTTGGAGCGCTGCTCTCGTGTCACCCCTGAACAGCGTAGAAATAAGCTGGAAGAGACCCTTGAGGTCTTCCAATCCAGCCCCCCCCCCCCCCCCCTTCTTTGGGGCAGCCCCTCAGCTGCCTCCCCCGCCGGCCCGCTCGGTTTGCCAGCCTGCAAGGTCCCCCCACCCCCCCGGCAGCTTCGAGCTCGGGACTCCCCAGCTAATCACAGAGAATCGAGAGTTGGAAGGGACCTGACGGGTCATCTAGTCCAACCCCCT